GACTTACCCCAACACAGAGCAAGGAATCAAAGCAAGGTCTTACAAACATGTTGTCTTCCCACCTCTCACCAAATGGGGGGACTTGGATGAGTTGTCCCCTCTCCCCGTTCCAGAGCCTCCTAGCAGGACAAAGCTCGTCCTCAAGGAAGCCAGTCTGCACAGTGCTATATACAGCCTGTACATGTTGGGCTGCGGGGTGAAGACTGGAGTCTGCCCCTCCATAGTCAGTATAGGCCCCTACCTGTTAAGGCTCTCTTGCCTGCTCAGGCCCCACAGGCAAGGGAGACACTAGCCTGGCAAAGCTTTGAGAAGCAGAGGCAGTGCTGTCTGGTGCCAGCCCTTTGCTTCCCTAGAGAAGGGCCTCATGTTAGCCCTTTTCCAGTGCAGCCCATGCACCCTGAAGTAGAGGCAGGATCTACCAATGAGGCTCAGAGTCCCAGCTGCTCTCACAGGACCCCATTATTTTCTTAATGGACCAAATGTTAAACTTTCGCCAGGGACATGGCAGAGGGCCCAGAGGGGAGATGCCAGAATTTTTTTTTTTTTTTAAACAGAGTCTCAGTATTGCCCCAGCTAGAGTACAGTGGCATCATCATAGGTCACTGCAACCTCCAACTGCGGGGCTCAAGCAATCCTCCTGCCTCAACCTCCCCAACAGCTAGGACTACAGGCATGCGCCACAATGCCTAGCTAGTTTTTCTAGTTTTTGTAGAGACAGGGTCTTACTATATCACCCAGGCTGGTCTCTAACCCCTGGTCTCCAGTGATCCTCCCATCTAGGTCCCCCAAAGTGTTAGGCAGCAGCATCTTTCTAACAAACACATCCTGAGGCCAATGGATTTGTGGTGGGCCCTCGGCCTTGCAGCACTCCCACCTCATCCTGGTAACTTCTCCGTGCACCAGGGATAACCTAGAGGCCTCATCACCTAGAACTGCTAAGAGATGAGTGCCCAGCATGAAAGGAGCCCATCAGCTGACTTGGCCAAAGCTCAGGAGGGGATCAGGGAAGGCTTCCACATGGTGGGACTTTGGGACTGAGTCTCCAAGTGGCATAACCACCCATCAGCTCTGAAGTCTCCCAAAGGACTCCCACTGGACTTCACCACCTATGGGTAACTGATTTCTCTCAGAGCCTCAGTTTCTTCATAATAACTAAAAGTCACCATTTTATGACTCCTAATTCAAATAATGATATAGATATGGATGATAAAACCAGTTAGTGAAAGGCTGTTGGGGAACTTGGCAATGAATGAATCAGGCAGCTTCTCTAGGCCCACAGTTAAGATCAACACCACTGAAGTCTGGAGCCTCCTGATAAAGGCTTGGGAAGCCAACAGCACCACCTAGGAAGGACTCACACCTGAAACATGAACTGGAATCTAAACAAGCCACTAGTACTAGTCACTAGGACCCAGGAGCTAGAGAGGGCAGAGGAACAGACCAGATGATGCCATGAGGAAGCAGCCGCCATTCACAGGTCAAATAATCTGGATCCACCAACAAATGAATTGCTGTTACGGAATTGCTGTAATGGAATAAGAGACTTGAGGGGACACAACTAAACACAACATGTCTGGGTCCTGATACTAACAAACCAAATAATTAAAAGACATCTTGGAAATAAGAAAGACAAGAATTTCTGTCAATTTCATTACTGGTGATGATGGCATGGTGGGTATGCAAAAATTAAATTCCTTACCAATGGAGGAAGAATGAGCTTTTCAACAAATAATGCTGAATTGCTGGATATCCAGAAGCAAAAACAAAACAAACAAAAAACACTTTGAATCTTAACCTGAACCTTTGTTCAAAATGGATCACAGATTTTTTTTTTTTTTTTGAGACAGAGTTTTACTCTGTTGCCCTGGGTATAGTGCTGGGGTATCATAGCTCACAGCAACCTCAAACTCCTGGATTCTAGTGTTCCTTTGCCTCAGCCTCCCAAGTAGCTAGAACTACAGGTATCCACCACAATACCCAGCTAGTTTTTCTATTTTTAGTATAGACAGGGTCTTGCTCTTGCTCAGGCTGGTCTCAAACTACTGAGCTCCAGCAATCCACTTGCCTCAGCCCCCCAGAATTCTAGGATTACAGGCATGAACCACCATGCCCAGCTTAGATCACCGATTTAAATATAAAACTGTAGAATTTTTAGAATATATAGAAGAAAGAAATTTGAATCCTAGGGCTAGGTCAGGGGTTCCTAGATTTAACACCAAAAGCATGATCCACAAAAGGAAAAAGTGATTAAAGTAAACTTCATTAAAGGTATAAACTTTGGAGCTGTGAAAGACTCTACTAAGAGGATGAAAAGACAAGCCACAGAGTGGATGCATTATTGGTAAGACACAGACCTGGTACATATCTTGCACCAGGAATATATGAAAAATGCTCAAAAAGCACAATGCTTAAAAAAAAGAAAGAAAGAAAAAATCCTATTAGAAAATGGGTAAAAGACATGAACAAGTATTTCACTGAAGAACAGATACAGGGGCTGGACTTGGTGGCCTTCACTGGAAGGCCAAGGTGGGAAGATTGCTTGAGGTCAGGAGTCCTAGACCAGCCTGGGCAACATAGCAAGACTCCTAAAAAAAAAATAAGAAGAAAAATTAGCCAGGCATGATGGTGTGCATCTGTAGTCCCAGCCACTGGGGAGGCTGAAGCAAAAGCATCACTTGAGCCCAGAAGTTAAAGGCTCCAGTGAGCTATCTCGTTGCCACTGCATTCTAGCCTCTGTGATAGAGACCTGTCTCTAAAAGAAGAAAAAGAACAGACACCTGGCAAACAAGGACAGTTTAGAAGCTGGCACAGGGCAGTAACAATGAGGAGGGGTGTATAAATTTAAAGGGTAACAAGGGAGTTCCCTCCAGGTGATGAAATAGTTTTTATATTTATAATGGTAGGAGTTATATGGATCTACCAGGAAAAAATTACATAAAACTACATACACACTTGAGGAGGGCGTATGGTGGCTCACGCCTATAATCCTAGCACTCTGGGAGGCCAAGGGTGGACTGCTTGAGCTCAGGAGTTCAAG